CCCCAAAACCCCAAAACCCCAAAACCCCAAAACCCCTTATATTTTATAATCATTTGATCAAAATAAAATGAATAAAGAGGGAAACTGATTTGCAAAGAAGTCATATGATAAAACATTTGCTCAAAGAAAAGGCTCTATAAATTCTCTATTTAGAGGTATTTTATGTTTAATCTTTAGAGACTGACAATTCTACAAGCCTCTGGAATACCTTTGGTAGGGAAACCCATTCTAAAAGCCCTCATGGTAATATCGGTTATCTAGTATTAATTTTTCATTCTTCACTATCATTGCATTTATTTTAAAATGATTGGTTCAGTACTTCCCAAATAAATTTCCTAAGAAATTTGAATAATTTCCAAAAATCAGTTAAAAAGAACTATTATTTGTCTGTTCTAAGCATGTATAATCAATCTATAACTCTAGTAACCGAGAATCCCCATCACTATGATTCCAGGAATATCCAGATCTACAACAATAACTCAAAGGAAAGACTAAAGAGGGGCAAATCCTTCAAGAATTCTAAAGCTAATAAGTCTTCAAAGAAATACATGAAAACTCCTAAATCAATTGTACTGATATCTTCATCAAAGCGGAGGGAGAAGTCCATGAATTTGTCCCAGATAGGATCACCTACTAAGAAGAGCATAGACCTCTCTCCTAAGCAGAGGGCTGGGAGCCAGCTAGAGTACAATCATCCTAACTTTGAATTTAACGAACCAAAAGTTGTAAAGAAGCAGGTAGCTAGCCTTTTACTTTCCCTTTATATTTGACCTCGAAAGTTACAAAATTACTAGATTAATCAGAAGCATTTTACTCTTCATCTAAAATAAATCTTGTTCTAGAAAAACCCTCTACTACTGCTACAAAGCTTGATGAGGAATAAGACGCTCCTAGAAAAGATAATCACTTGTATTGCTGACTGTGTGAGATATGAAATTCCTTCAGAAAACCTCGACAAATTACTCATCATGATGGAAACCCATACAGATGAGGACTCAATTATTAAATAAACATATTCTTGAGAATATTGTACGTGAGAACCTCCAATCAATCTCATCAAATTACGAAGAGATTTCTTCAGGAATTATTGACCTTTGTGACCAGATTAGCATCAAAAGTGTAAATCTTGGAAACTTCAGAACCTTTTGTGAGTTCTATAAGGTGTATCCTGAGTATATAAACTCAAAACTACCAGTTCCTACCAGAGAGTCCAAGATATAATAAAGGAGTCTACAAACCCCAAAAATCCTTCCAGACTAGAGGCTCGTAACTTCAAAGTTCAGCCACCCAAAGTGACAGTTATTGGATGTAAGAAAGTTTCAGTATTTAAGAGTTTCGAGAAAGAAGAGTTGCAGCGCCTCAGAGCTAGTTATTCAACAGAGATTGAGAAAGAGAACCCAAGACCAGTATTCAGGACAATTAAGGGAAAGAGATCATTCAATATTTCAGAGTTTCACCAGGAAGATGAATTAAATGAGAAGAAGACATTTCAAATCCCTAGGTATCATAACAAAAGTGTGAATTTTGGGTTCAATCAAGATACTAAAATAAGACAAAAGAAAGTGCATGATGTCAATTTTAATTACCAACTAGGTAATTTCCCAACTGAGCTTTAGAAAATTACCAATTTCAGAAACCTGCTGAGATCAACATCATGCATAATGAAACAATCCGAGAGAAGCTAGCTCAGACCCGAAGAAAGTCTTCTATTATAGATACCACAAAGAGCTTTACTACCAAAGATGCCATCAGCCAGTTTTCTGATAGTAAAGTGGCTGCTAAATTTAAGAAAAATAATAAGCTCAGGTTAGTATTTATTTTACATTTAGCTTGAATGTAGGAGAAGAAGACTCACTATCGAAAATAGAAAGGTTAAATAAATAGAATAATCGACCGGTTCAATACTAATACTCATCCAAGCAAACTGAAGGTTAATGATAGCAACTCTAATTTACCAACCAAATCGTAAGAGATTCTCTTGAAGTATTGTTGAGGCTTTAATAGGTTGATTTTTCAAGAATGTTCGCCAATATTATCAAAGTTCAGCCCTCAAAGAGTAATTTATTGAGTAACTTTTTAGAAATTTCCAGTATTGAAAAGAAAGAGATATACAATAAAACATAAATCAAAGCCTGTAGCATCAATAAAGAGCAGTGCTTTGGATAATATATTCGTGGATTCTTCTCAGCCTATCAACAGTAGCCATTGTAACTAATATCTAGTCCCACGGACATCATACTTACAGGTGGAAGGCTCTTTCATCTCTGACAATCGGACACCTCCAAGACCTAACAAGGACATTCGGAGAAGTATGGTCCTATCCTATTTTATAAAGAAAAAGAAGCTTGATCGTCTCACAAAGATGCCTCTTCGGCAAGCTTATTGCTAAATCCACCCATAATCTTCACTCGAACCTCTTCTTCTCCTACTCCAGTTCCAAGATCTGGCTTTCTCCTTTAGCAGTTCAAGCTGCCTCTTTAGCTGCATATTTTATAGTAAGAATTCTGGTCGTGGATTTTTAAGACAAGGAGGATTTTGTGTTTAGTTGGATTATTAAGAAGAGATTTAAAAACAGTTGGAAGATAAAAGAGATGGGGTTTTGGGGTTTTGGGGTTTTGGGGTTTTGGGGTTTTGGGG